ATGCCATCAAATAAGTTAGAATTTGACCACCGAGCAATGTATCTGATGTGAAGCCAATAGGGAAGAGGAGGCGGATAATTCTTAAGGGGCTATGGTTTATCTTACCAGATTCTTTTTGTCCTTATTTATTTTCATATTTACTTCATAATCCTAAGTGAATGGATTTGCTGAAATTTCCATCCTTCTAGGGGTTTTCCCCAAAACAAAGAGTAGGAAATAGAAGCAATCACAATTCTTGGATCACAGCTAAAAGGGATAGGTGTGTGGAGCAATTTGTCTTCAGCTGATGCTCCCATACACTTACCAGTTCAATTGACAATGTGTAATTTTCTTCCTACTGTCAATGTGAACAATATATCCGGGGGGAGGGGACTCTCCTGCTGATGCACGGTGCTCTCTACTTACCAAATCTAATAGACTACGTGTAATATTTCTTCCTTCAGCTAGTATGAATAATATCATATGTTCTGCTAAGTTTAATGTTTTTCTTCCTTACTTCAATCTTAATTTGGAGATTGATTGGAGAAGGTGCATTATTCACTTCCGAATGGATACTTACATTTGTTATGACAGCTAATCTCCATCCCAGTCTCGCAACATGGTCAAGTTTCTTGCTTTTGGGAAAAGATTGAAGAATGGTTCATAAAGCTGATTTAGTTATTATTGGGATCTGTGTCGGTGTGGCTTTTGGAATTCTCATTGCATCACTTGTGTTTTTTGGAATTCGGTGGTACAAAAGACGTGCTCGTCTTCAGCGCCAAGCAAATGAGCGATGTGTAGCAACTCTTCCAATACGGACGAATGGACTCAATACAAGCGTTGATTTTAGTGCATCTCTGTCAAGTTCTGTTGCTATTAAGACATCAGGATTTCCGGCCACAAATTCACAGACCAGTTGGTGGAGTCACCCTAGTAAAGATCACTTTGCTTCAGCATCTGGGATACCAAGATACTCTTACAAGTATGTAATCTACAGCTCTAAAGTTTAACATCTTTAGTGGGGAAATTACCTTGTACATTCAACAGCTTTTCATGTTATTGTATACTAAATAGTAACTAATGGAAACTCATGAATCATGGTTCCTCTTCTCAATGTCTATTGATTAGCTACTTGCCTCTCTTTTTTTTTCAACTAATGAACCTATTGGTTTTCAAACATGATATTAATGTGTTAGGAAATCAGGATGTTGAAGAATGTTTTGAATCTGTAATTGGATCTTTGTTTTACTTCGCACTGTAAAATAAGCTTTTTACTGGTTACATTTGTCTCTATGAATTGCCCATTAAATTCTTAACAACTGCCAACTGCTTGAGCTGATCTTTTGTGGGACTCCAGGGACATTCAGAAAGCTACTCAAAACTTTACAACCATACTGGGTCAGGGGTCTTTCGGCCCAGTGTACAAAGCTACAATGCCTGCTGGTGGAGTGGTTGCTGTGAAAGTTCTTGCTACGGACTCAAAACAAGGAGAAAAGGAGTTCTTTACAGAGGTGTGGATTGCTTGTTAACTCTTTCCCACGAAAATAACACTACAATGGCTTCTATGTTAAAAGTTCCTTTTACTTTTGAGATTTATCCCTGCCTTTAACATGCAAATGTTGTTTACATAAATCATGAATTTTGTTTGAGGTATACAATATTTCACATTAGATGCATAAGGGTACCGAAAAGTGGTTTATGGAACTTATGGGTTACTCCACAAATTGTCTTAGAACTTTGGGTTGGATACCTAGATTCTCTTACATGCATTAGAGCTAGCTAACCGTTGGTAAATCTATTCCTCACGCGTGAATTCAATCGTTTAATTCATGCGTAGACCCTTAAATTGGGTTGTATGTACGGGAGGGTATTTTAAAAATGCAATGCCTCACGTCAGGTGTAGAAGGACATTCAAGACGGTTATAAAGATTCTGGGTTAATCTACTCATTACCTAACTTACCCATTATTTTAAGGTTTTGGATTAGACACTCAATTTAGGTTGCAAGTGTTGATGAACTATATCAAATTACATTGGTCCTGAAAAATAGGTTTATCTCTCTTATTCTATCATCTTGGCCCCTCTAAGAATTTAGTTCTGCATCTGCCACCTTATTTTGGGATAAAATGTGGTATCTCAAATGAACTTTATATCTCATAAGGCAAAGATGATGTGACCTCACTTTAATGTAATCGATTTACTCGGGACATCTTTAGGAAAAGTTCCTATTTACATTAGGTAAAAAAAGGCAAAAAAAAAAAAAAAACTAACACTATAGTTCGTGAAGTACTTTAGGTTACCGTCTAGACATATGTATTCTAACTACTCAGATAGTACAATAATAGCATCTTATTACGCTCCTCTACT